TGATTGGAAATGATGTTTTTAAATGTAAATATATCTATATTATTTTCCTTGGTAAAATCGTTAAAGCAAGGGAGCATGTCGGTGTTGTTTTTATTCAGTTCAGTTTGCCAGAGACTAAGCTTATTCTTAAAAGCTTGAATTTTACTGGCTGAAGTTATGATAGTTGAATTCTCACCCTGCAAGCACAAATTCAAGTCATTAAGTTTTTCGAAAATATCAACTAAATAGCTCAGCTTTCCTAGCCAAACTTAATTGATATAACAACTTGCCAATCTACGTGTTTATCTTTCCGATTAAAAACATGTACACTTCATTTCTCAAATCCATCATAGTATTTTCCCACGTGAAAGCCATCTGACTTCGGTGTGTAACAGTAATCTCTCATACGTTGAGCCCATCTCATTGCAAAGTATTGAAAAGAGACGGCTGTTGTGGCTGTTGCATTTAATGTAGTTAATTGAACGATCAGCGTCTTGTAATATGTTGTGCAACTCTTCATCCATATCTTTTGCAACAAGAGCTTGCCGATGAATCATACAGTGATTAAACACCATATAAGGCGCCACCTTCTGAATTAAGCCTCTGAGCCCTTTATTCGAACCTGTTAATGCTGCAGCACCATCAGTACAAACCGCAACACAGTTTGCCCAGGTAAAGGGACTTTGTTTCAAAATATTCATTTATTACTTCGAATATTTTTTCTCCAGTTGTTTTTTCCTTCCAAACTTTTGCAACATAAAAACGTTTCTGTTATATCTTCAATTAAAAATAAACCTAACGTAAATAATTAGCTGTGACATTTTAGTAATATTGGTAGTCTCTTCCAGTTGTAAAGCAAATACAGATGAATTTTGTATGCGTTTTATGACTTCTGACTCGATATTTCGTGACATTTCGGAAATCCGCCAAGACACGGTATCTTTTGATAATGGTATTGCTTTTAGTTCATTTCCATATTTATCGCCATGCATAATTGATGTCATCTTAGTTGCTGCAGGAAGGATAAGGGAATCTGGTTGATCTTTACATTATGGTAACTTGGCGTTTTTTTGGCGAAAATTTGGCGACCAACTCTCCTACAGCAACCCTCTATTTTTTTTTCCCGCCGCCATTTTGTCTTCACGAAGTAAAGACATGTTTCTTTTCTTTTATCTACTGAACACTTCTTCCAACAATCTACTAGCCGAATTACACTTATGCTAGAAATTTTATCTAACAAAACTGCTTAATCATGACAAATATTCACTGCAAAATTGGGAAAAAGTGCACAATACCATACTCCTTACGCGTTTTTCAAATAAACACATACACATAAACCATGTACACGCCGAGTTATTTTTACTTAAAAAAACATCCCAGAATTGCACAAAAATGGCATTGCGCACACTCTTCACTATATCCATGTACACTGCCTTTTTCTCATATATTAGAAAAATTTCACGAAAATACATGACAATATTCTGAATCTTTAAACCCGGTAAAAAGAACATATATGAAATTATCTGATCGTGAAAAAGTATATACCCTTTCCAAATATCAACATTTCCACGTATAAAATAAATAAAATATCCAAAAACTTTTACCTCTAAATCATCTATTACATTATACACGTCACCAACGAATTCATACCGCAAGCATTACAAATACTTAATATCAAATATTTAAATTATTTCAATGCACGTTTACTTCAACTAAAACGTATACCAAATTCCTAAAAACATAAAATTCACAAAATAACTATCATTTAATTAAAATATAATTAAATTCAAAAACACTACTTAAAATATAATATAAATAAGCACATACATTAAATTAATAAAAATTACCTTACAATCCTAATTACTTTAAACTAAAACATTGCTAATAACAATTTTCCCAATAATACCAAATTCCTTTACTTCCACCTTACATTTAGAACAATGCATAAAAATAATATCCTCAAATAATTAAAAATACTAACTTACCTAATCTTCTTCAGAATCTTGATTACGTGTCCGATAAACTTTTCTTTAGTTACGGCCATGGGATCCAAAAATTCACGAACACTGTTTCACACAACACAGAATAAACCAAATACAAAATTTCCAGATTTTTTCTCGATTTCCCCCCTTTTCCGATTAAAGAACCATAATTCGTCCATTAATATCACATGACATATCCCATGATCTCTCATTTCCCTCACACAAAATAATGCGTAATCGGAACTGAGTACTGCTCACATTATTACCAAAGTCCCAGGTAGTAACCTTTATCGCCTCCAAAATGTCGCCAAACTACCAGTTACCATATTGTAAAGATCAACCGGGATTCTCCAATTGTATGGGGTTTTATTGTTTTTCCTATTAGATAAGAAACTTCTAAAGAAGCTCGTAATGCTTTCTGAGGTATTGTTGTAAATTTCTTTAAATGTGCACTTTGAATTTTGAGATTTTCAGCTCGTCTTTGAAAAAAATCGGCATGTTTATTTTGAAGTTCTTTATGTTTAGTTTCAGGTGCCTTTTTAATTTAGCTGGTTTCATGCTCTCATTTGCTAATTTTTCGTTGCAAATGACATATATCGGGCGTTCTTCATCATCAACAGCACAAAATGTAAAACCATACTTAATAAACTCCTCATTGTATTTTCTTACTTTTTTAGATCGGGCATTTAGTTCAGTATTTTGCGAATCCTCATCAGCATTTGTTTCTTTGTTATCTGAAGATGTACCTGGTGTACGTAATACCCATTTATCCATTGTGAAGATAGGGGTTAAATTATTTAAACTAAAACAAATGATATATAAAATTTTATAATTTTTTTTTCGAGAAATTCAATAAAATCAAGAGATATCTTTCTCTAATGATAGTACATACCTGATAACAAAGAGTAGCAAAGCCCGATAAAAATATAAAAAATCATAATTACACAACGTCACATGATAAAACTCGAGGATAAACTAAAAAAATTGCACGCCAACTGCTACATGCTACAACTTCATGCGAACACTCACTCTGACTATCAGATACACCGCGAACCTCGTCATCTGATTGGCTGGTCACGGAAGCGAATTTTTCCCCTTTCCCTGCGGTTTACGTCTCGTCAAACAGGCGCTTTTCAGTAAAAACTGGCGAATTACCGTGAAGAGGGCGCTATCTACCAGAGTGAAAAACTTGCGTCTTCACACTTTACATACACTACGCATTACGGTCAAAGAAAGAGCGGACAGCATGAAATTGCAATTAAACAGTGAGTGATGGCGCTTCACTCTTTATATGTGCACTGTATGGTATGCAGCATGCAGGCGTAATGCATTTCATAAAAATTTGGCGACCCCTAGTTTGCGCACCACTGGCTTATACCGTCCGTTATACATTAAACGCGCATGCGTAAATGTATTATGCCCATACGTAGACACATATGCGCATGCATTAAAGCATTATACGTTGACGCATGCACATAATATGTTTACGTTATATTGCGTTAACACATGCGCAGAAAGTTTGTAGCTTTGAGGTCTGGATTATAGATCATTCTGGATTATGGACGCCCGGATTAAAGACTTTTATTAAGAATTATAATTATATAATATATTAAGGACTATTTTTAAGAATACTTTGACTGTACTATTTTAAAATAGTTTTAAGAATACTTTGATGGCCAATTCTATTCTGTTATTAACTTATGGGCTATTTTCGTTTCTGGCAGCTTGAAGAATTACGACATTAATTAACGAATTACTATTTTTCATTATTTCTCTTACTTTAGAGGCCATTTTAGGTAATTTTTTTCTGAATTAGCTATTTTCACTTTTACCCAGACCATTTTCTTCAAACTACTATGACAAGACGACATTTTGAACTTTTTCCGCATTTTTCAATACCTTTCAGCCTCCTTTGCTATGAGTCAGGTTGCTGCCAACGGACAAACACTTGGCACTGGCTATTGCCAGGTGATGTTGCTTTTCTCCCTTTGTACGTCATCCGGCCAGTTGGAGGACAATGGAAATGCTCGGGGGTTTGCACACCCTTTTTGAGTTTCCTCGTCACCAAGGAAAACAGCTTTGTACCAGGTATGATTTTTATAATTTTTTTCTCTAAAAGTTTTTTCTAGGTCTTGGCAAGATCCATGCTTCTAGTCGTCTTTTATATTATCTTTTCCTTTTTGATTTAAATATAATTTACGGTACCTTTTCAAAGTTTTAATTCTTTAAGCTCGCAGGTCCAACCCATAAGTTCTTGTATATTTTGACTAATAGCATATTTATTTTTTCTGTACAAGGATTGTTTTTTTTGTAACAATTCAGTTGTGCAAAGTTTCAATTGTTGTTTTGGTGTTTAAATGCGTAATGGAGTTGGAGTTACCTTGGTTCGAGATTCATTTTTAAAATTTTCCCTTGACAAGCCAAAATGAACTTTGAATTGGGCTAATTAATCATCATTACCGCTTCTTAATTTTAATATTTATTTTTTTATATTTTACCTTGATAATATTTTACTGTGTTTTAAAATCTATTTTATTTGTTTAACATATAGCTTACTATTTTTATTTTACCTCGTTCAATTGATTTGTTTTTTTACTGTGTTAAAAATTACTTAATTCATTTACATATAGCTTACTTTATGAATTTTACTTGTAAATATTCAAATATTGTATTTTTCTCCTCTTTCATACATTTCATAGCAACTAAATATGCTTATGTTGAGTTTTCACGGAGCCACAGTTTTGGTAACTTTTTAGTGTGCATATTAAAATTTATCTTCCAATTTCCTTGATTTTGCAGCAGAATGCGCAAAATTTTGACCACATAGGTCTTTTTTTGTTTGTTCTTACAACTTAACTTTAAATTATAAACCAGAATAGGTGTATTTAAAGCAAGGCAAAAACAATCTAAAAACAGATAGGCTGAATATATTATAAATATATCTCCTGAAAAAATATTAAAGCTCTCAAACTTTTTAGCAAGATCTGGTACAAAATTTTCAATCTTAATTAAATAAAATAGGGTAAATGGTTCATTTACCATCTGATGAGCCCACAGCTGATTATCTCCTTTAGAATGACACTTTGTCATAATTATAGGAAGTTCTGATTTCATGCCCTCTTCATTCACTTCTGCACAATTATCTTCTTTTCTAAGTTCTCCTGCTTCCGTGTATGATATCAGCTGTAAGAAAACATATTAATTAAATTTTAAAATTCTTTAAATCTTCCAAGGAATGTGCATAAAATTTTTTAAATGATATTGATTGTACATACAGAAAAAGTTTACCTAAAGTTTTTGTGTTTTAATTGTTTCATTTTATAACCCTTATTGTTCACTATCTTTCTACATCATAATTTCCAAGACAATATTTTTTTTTTTTTTTTTTTTTTTTTAAGTAGATGAAGATGTATTTTATCCCATTCCTCTTGACTGGCTTTCCAAAGTCCAAGAAGTTGTAAGTCGACATCTGGACAATCTGCTTTTTCAAAGAATCTGGAAGATTTCTTTGAAAAATGAGGGTCTTAAAAAAACTAAACATGGCTAAAATATATGGACTGGTTTGTGTTGAGCTGCCATCTACTATAAATAAAGAAGGTTCAGATTAACCTATAGTAACCTATAAATCCTTTTTCATTCAATTTTTCTGTACGTACAGATAGAAATCTTTAGGTGCGTTCAGACCGGACACACTGTGCCGTAAAGGGTTAATAGGCGATCGGTCAGTAGGCGATAAAAAGCTGATGATTAATAGGCTATCGGTCGATAGAGGTTGGCAATAAAAAGCCGACTGGTCAATAAAGTGTTAATTATGACAATGTAACATTTTAAGAGCATTAGGTAAGAACTTAAAATTACAGTCAAAAGTTTTTAATCCGGACTCGTCGGGACTTCGGCGATTCCGGATTATCGATTTTTCCGCATTATAGATCATCAGTTTAAATCTGGTAAGATGGCATGCAGAAATTATAAAATTAAAAATATGAAACCGTAATTTATAAAATAATGAGCAATTATGATCTAAAGGGTATCAAAATTTACAAAAAAGAAAGCTTAATATTTATTTGTTTACTTTATTAAACATTTCTTTCAACGCGTGCATGCGTAAAGCATACATTTACGCATAGTCGAAATTAGAAAATTGCAACCAGAAAACTATTTGATTTGTATTCGTGATATTTATAATGACGAGGAAAATTTGATTTAAATCATATCAAAGACGGAGTACATCGAGATGAAATACTACATTTAGTAGGGAATTATAAGCCGAATAAAATAAAAACATCTGCCCTGAAGATAACGATAGTGCTGGCAGATCAACTTCCAGTTCATTGCGCGCCGCGACGTCCCCCCCCGCACAGAGCAGCGTGAAATTGATAAAAATATTTCTGAATGGTTAGAGAATAAAAGGATATGCCTTTATCCATTTTTTGCAGCAATTCCACTTTTTGTTTGATGGACATTGAAACATGCTTTTGCTTTGTAGATTCTTTGGTAGTTCCAGCATCGGAAATTCTATTTGACATAATCGAAAGTTCAAGCTTACTTTTATGAAATTGCTCTTACAGTCTGCAAAAAATAATAAGCCGGATCCAATTCGAAGATTAAGGAACAACGCAATCATCAACATTAACTGAAATAGATAACTAGATAATTTAGCTTATACCGTCCGTTATACATTAAACGCGCACGCGAAAATGTATTCTGCGATTGCCCAGACGCATATGCGCAGTCGTAAATGTCTTGCGCGCACGTGTAAAACGCCTATGAGCATGCATCAATGCGGCGCATGCGCAGATTTTAGCTTTGAGGTCCGGATTACGGGTGTCCGAATTAACGACTTTTGACTTTATTAATGAATTAAGAATTATAAAAAAGAAGTACAAATACTAACCTTTTTCTTTCAGCAGCAGCCCATATTGTTGTTATGTATAGCTAATGGAAAATTAGTTACGTAATTAATCAGCTCATCTATTGTCCCAACTTATGTAATCTATTGTTTGTAACTAAAGATTATTTATTATGAGTGCATATTTGATTGAATGTTAGGACTTACTTATTTAAGTATGTTATTGAAAAAAGAGAATTTGATTACTCATTGCATTAGTGATTTATAACTTGTATATATTCGTTTAAGCTATTATTAGTAATGTGCCATTTCTATTTTTCGTACTATGCTGAACTGCTTTAGTATTTAGTACTGAATCATTTTCCATTGGTCTGGTTAGTTATTGTTGCAGATATTTAAAAATTGCATATTTCAGATAAAATGTAAATTTGATTATTACTGTACAAAAATAGTCTTTTGTGTGAATATGTAAATATTTATTATGTTATTAGGCTTTGTAAGGACGATAGTAGAGTTCTTGAGTAGGATACATGAAGGCATTATTGTGAAATGAATTTTTAACGTGCTAGAAAGTTAGTATGTTAGTATCGAGAAATTGGTATAAAATTATTCAGTCCATTGCATTAGTGATTTGTAATTTGCTTATATTTGTTTAAATGAATTTTTAAAATTATTTAGGAATGTATGATCCCCATTTTTATACTGTGCAACACTATTTTAGTATTTAGTGCTAAATTGTTTTCTATTAGTATCATTTCTATTGGTATTGTTGCAAATATTGAAAAACAAATCCCCATTTCAGGGAAAATGTAAATTTGATTATTTGAGTGCACCGGATTTGAGTGCGATTTGAGAGGATTATTTGAGTGCAACTGCATCAAGAGGATTCGCACGGATTTTTAATTATGTAACTTTTGGTATGTATGTTGGGCCACCATTGGCTGCGATGTAAAGTCTGAACACTGGCAGTTCGGTCGGGGAATGATGGGTGAGGGCGGCAGTTTTAAGTTTTTGCCCCGCCTAGGAAAAATGCTAAATCCGGTGCTGGTAACATTAAGCAGTTGAGAGTATGTATTTAAGAGGTTAAAGGATATTGTAATTAGTATTTCAAACCCTGATAACACCCCATATGCTGTCGGTGGAACCTAGATAGGAAGTCCTATGGATGTACTGGGATGTGACATTAAGCTCTCGGGAGGATGAGTTTAGGAGGAAACTGGGATATTACGGGATGTCCTGAGGATGTAGTAAGTAGGACTTTAAATCCTAATAACATCCCATACGCTGTCGATGGGACATAGATAGAAAGTTCTTAGGATATAATGGTATGTGTTTAGAAGGTTAGTGGAATATTCCAGATGTGTTAGGAGGTTAGTGGAATATTCCAGATGTGTTAGGAGGTTAGTGGAATATTCCGGGATGTCCTGAGGATGTAGTAAGTAGGAGTTCAGATCCCAATAACATCCCGTACGCTATCGATGGGATTTTGTTAGGATGTCCTGAGGATATCCTGGGATGTGACATTAAGCACTCGGGAGGATGTATTTAGGAGGTTCGCGGGATATTCTGGGATGCCCTGACAGGGTTCATAGCCACATTTTAATTAAAAAAATAAGCACCTACAAGCACTTTTCAAGCACATTTTAAGGAAAAAATAAGCACCTGTTTAATTACATTATACACAACTGCATAACCTTAAAAGAAAAATTAGACTTGTAATTTAAAATATGAGTAACGCAATATTTATTAAGAGAATGAGCATTACCTCAACCATGGAAAACAATTAACTTTTTTTAAAAAATTTTAAATGAGAGTTCAATTTACAGAATTAGTTTACAATGAGAGAAAAAAAAAAAAAAAACTAAGCAGAACTAAACTATATTACAAGATTTAATGATGAAATTTCAGTTCAAAATATAGAAAATAAATAATAATAAGCCATATTAATTGTATTCGTTTGACACCTAATAATAAATACATTTATATTTCCACTCCTTTTTAATATTTAAATATTTAACTTAAATCAAATTCTGACATTTTCTAAATTTTCAATTGCATAACAGTTTTCCCTTAACATTATTCCAAGCAAAGTAATTTAAGTAAATAAGAGGCACATTTCTGAAATCAGAAGACTGGAAATTGCTTCATGCAGTCATCCTTTAACATAAAAGCTTAACTAACCCACATACTGAAGGTTTATGTTGAAAAAGATTCAATTAGCCCTTTTTTTTTAAAAATTTTCATTAATGGAGTCTAAAACGAGTCCTTACGGATAATTCTTTGAATACAATTTCAAAAGGCCTTGTGCTTTACAAAAGGAAACTGTAAAATAATAAAAAAAAAAAAAAACATGTAAAATTTTTTGTGGGTGTGTTTCATACTTAAATTTAGTAACAATTATTACATAACATACATTTTCTCAAAATAAAATATTAATTTAATAAAAATACAATTGTTTAGAACGGAGCAAAAAATGGCTCACATAAGTGATGGGACACCATTAGATACTACTACGTACTACAATAAAAATATTTTTGGGGTTTTTATTTTTACTCTCAAAAGCAATTGGCAATAATTTATAAAATCGTCTGCAGTATTTCTCTCCAGTTTGTTTTGGAATTTTTGTGTTTTTTAGCTCTGTGCAGCCATGAATGCTAAACGAAAAGAAACTTTGCCTGAAATTCGAAAATTAGTTATTAATTTGCATATTGAACGTGGAAAATCTATTAGAGAAACTGCTGAAACAGTTAACTTGAGTCATTCAACAGTTTTCAATATCATTAAACGATATAAAAAGAATCATATGATTCAGGATAAAAGAAGACCTGGCCGACCATCAAAGCTATCCAATGGAATAAAGCGAATTATCGTTCGAAATATTAAAAAAAATCCAAGAATGAGTGCTCCTAAAGTTGCTGCTGATTTACAAGCATTATATGGAGTAATTGTTAATCCTGAGACTATTAGAAGAGTAATTCGATCTGCTGGATATCACGGTAGAGCAGCCAGGAAAAAATTCTTCGTAAGTGAAAAGAATAGAAAACTCAGACTGGCTTTCGCAAAATCCAACATAAATAAGAATTCTGATTACTGGAATGAAGTTATATTTGCTGATGAGAGTAAATTTAATATATTTGGTTCTGACGGTAGAATCTTGGTGTGGAGAAAACCCAGGGAAGAATTTCGCAAACAGAACTTGGTGCCAACAGTAAAACATGGTGGAGGAGGAGTTATGGTATGGGGGTGTATGTCGTCCGCTGGAGTTGGTAATCTTGTTTTTATTGACAGTATAATGGATCAGTACAAGTATATTGACATTTTAAATCAAAATTTG